AAAGCCGGGGCACACTGGCCGGACAGTGTCCACGTTGAAACTTGAACCGTGTCCTGGAAGCAGAAATAAAAATATATTGTACGCGCCGCGACTGGAAGGATTTCCAGAGCAGGTGAGTAGCCGGTATATTAATGTTTTCCCCGAGTAATTCCGCGCCCCTTGCCAGAGGCCGTGCGTCGAGTGCATTCCGGTATGCAGTTTGTTAACAATACACGAATATTTCACGTTCCCAGACGGCATGCTATTCGACCCCGCGACACATAAATCTTAAGCATTCGGCTATGCAAATATGTACGATTCTTTTCTCTTCGACGATTGTAGCTGGTGCGAAGTTATCGGCATCGACCAATTCGTCGACGAAACGATACCACTCGCAACGAATTTCGCTGTTCCTCCGTTCAGAAGGTACGAATTTAATTATTCGAATTTTATGACGACGATCGAACGAGTCACGAGACATTTTAATACGTTCGAATTGAAAGCATGAAATTTTATTACGTTATAAAAGTATTGATTTGAAGCGAACTTTGCGAAATATGAAAATACTTCGATCACGATATTTTGTAGGGCAATAATAAATAACTTTTAATTATCGTAACGAATGTTCGACGTTACTCGATAAATAGTATTACCGCGACATTAAATAATAATTGGAGTTCTATCGATAATATGAATTTGTTATTTGTGTGTAACATTTTGGAATATGTCATTGGAAAACATTGATTCACGACAAATAATTAGGAAATATATTTGTAATATTTAATTAGAAAATAGTCATAATGTTCGGAATATTCTTTTTTAACGAAACGTGTACGTTATCTTGTTTCTCTTTTAAGATTGGTGGTGAACTGTAAAAAATGAATGCACAAAATGAATACGATTATGTTGCGTTAAAATTGAAATAAATAAAACTACGTAAATTTAGTGCGACATATTTACGTCTTAACACTACCGCAATGTTAAATGAATCGCGAGTCCTTTCCTTTCCTGCCATTCAATTACGAGAAAAGCAGAATTTATGATTTCCCGTCGACGGGGATGCACGAGTATTTACAAACTAACGATCCTCGATACGCAACATTACAAAAGTTTAATCCGCTCATTAAATCCAGATAAACCTTCGAGCAGATTTTGAGAAATCGATCTGTTCCTACAGCGGTACGTTGAATTTCAACACGAAATGCAACACGTTGCGAAAATCATTAATATTCCGTCAAATCGTCGGATTTCCAATAAAACCTGAAATATTCACCGCCGTTCTGTTCCTTACGAATTCATTACATCCGTGAAACCTGTAAAATACAACGTTCGCGAGTTTCATTCTGTTCAAATAATGCCTCTGCCACAGCACGGCGCATCGAATAATTAAAAGCATATGTCCGTAGCATGAAATTTGTAGCGCGGACTATTAGTAGATTGAATTATTCCTTGGATCGTCTATCACGCCTAATCAAAATATAAGCACACGTCGTCGCGTGCTGCAGCAGCAGCACTGTGTCAACGGATCCGCGCGGCTCGCTGTATACATTATACAAATACCGAAGAACTAATTTAAATATAAATGTCCTTCATCCGTGCCGCGACGTGAACATAACACTACATTATTGTCACATTTATTTATACCGTTCGTACGTGTGCCGTACGAACATAGGCGCATTGTATGCCATGCGTAATTTAAAATGCATCGACAATACGATTTTACGCAATTTCTCTTAATTTCCCGATGATGGAACCGTCGCCAAGTATAAACATTCGCCGCTTTCGTTTGCATCTAGCCGTGGGTAATTTATACCACGGAGCACGTGTCTTATCTTATCGCTAGACTGCGAACACGAATTTTCATCCGTGATCTCATAAAACAAGGACTACATAGAAATTTCTTCCTTTTCAGAGTTATTTGAACGAATTCAGAATAATAGATAATTCTTAATTATTTTAATCGTCGCGCACTGTTTTAAATGTTGCTCGTTCAGTTTTAGTCCTGATTCATGACATCAGTAG